CAAACACTGGAACAGTTCATCCTTCATGTTTAATTAATGTGTGTTGGCTGCTGCTAACAAAGATTTAAAAATCAGTACTAAGATTAAAAATGTAACAAAGGAATAGAAAAACGAAGTGAAAGCCGTAATGATTGTTCTTTTGATGAGTCTTTTTTTGTAGCCAAATGAAAGCACACCAAAAACTACCTCGCAAAATCAGCATCATACCTTAAAATGTAATAAGTTTTCTATTTATCTTCGAAATCAAGAACAATCATTCACCTGGATGCCTACAAAACAACAATAACTATGGCATCTATACTACGGTAAAAAAACTTAGTAAATGAAAACATATATATACATATATATATATATATGTATACGCACCAAGTGTATGCAAATTGCTTCTTCCAATCTTATCATTGGCACATGGCGACAGCTTTCGAAGCAAACCAGACGTAGTTGTCACTGCACACGACAAACAACGGCTATTAGAATCATTAAGAAGCAAATAAAAGGAAACAAAAAAATGCAACACAAGATCATATAAAAATGAGTCATTTTTTGCGCTTACAAAAAAAATTCTTAAGTTGTTCTTGAAAAATAACTAAATTTTATAATCAAAGTTTGCTTCTTCATTGTATTATGGGGATAATTCCTACGCAACTTGCTTAAGAACATATTCCATTAAATTTTGGAACATTTTAATTTTGGTCAACTGCACTTTGCCATTTAAAATCCATTTAGACCGTACATAATTAAATCACAAAAATCGACAACACTTCACTCAACAGATATTGATATCAAAATAGAACATCATAGTAAAATTCTTTCCCAACTTTTTTTTTTCAAAAAATAAAACAAACCTGCCGGTGACTGATGGGCTGTTGCTGGTGCGCTACCACCAAGTACTATTGTCACACCATCGGAAGCAGCATTACTCATTAAACGTCGAGCCTCCTCTCGATGACGTCTAAAAAGAAAACGGATTATGCTACTATCTTGTTATTCATAATTTACATCCGAATTTGTCGCATGCTGCAACGTCTAATATCTGTAATGTCCTTATTGGCAAACATGCCATAAAATATCACAAATGAGTCGCCATTCCATAATAATATGAAAAAAGTAAACTATTAGATAGGTTTTGGCTTCATTTCTCATGAAAATGAAGCCTGACTTTCTCATGAAATTTAATAAATGCTTTATAGATGATGCAATCCATTTTAATTTCCCTACATCAAAAATCAGCTGAGTAACACTACATCAGAAAGCAAAAATGACTGTGGCTCCTTTTAAGCAAACATTTACTAGGTAATATATTTATGGAAATTCATTGTAAGCTTAGATGTAACATATTTTTGCATTTTTCGCAAAAAAATAGAGACTTCACGTCAAAGGATGAAAATAGAAAGTAGCTGTTACGAAGAGTGCAAAACTACCACATTTTATAACTGAATTCTAATTACAAAATCAGGAAAGATCAAAATCTAGATTTAGAAAAGATCATAACATAACCAGAGGTAAAAAGAAAGGAATAGATTCTTTCCAAACTTTCTCACAAAACACTTTTAAGAGTTAGATTATTGACGAATTCATAACTTTTTAGAAAGATTCCTCATTATTTGCTAATAAGTTACTTAAATCCATGGATAATAATACATAAAGAATTAAAACTTATAGATTCTATTTAAAAGTTCGCAATTTTGTTTACCTTTCACGTGTAGCTTCATCGGTGGAATCAATAAGCATAGATGGATTAGAGGATATTTGTTGACGTTTTTTTATCAGCTCTTTATGACGAGCTGTAACAGCTGGTGAAATCGGAAGTGCATCAAGATCTGTACTGGCAACTATATTTGTATCAATCTTTGAACTTGGCTGTCGCACCACCGGTGTATATGCTGCGCACTTACTAAACAAACTTTTACATTAGAAAACATGCAGATAATGTAAATTAGTGTTTTTCTATTACCAAATAAAAATAACAATCGAATGGTCATCATACAAATTCATATCTATTAAAAATAACCTAAAATATTAATATGTGCTGTTCAAAACAAGTTATTTGAAATAATCAGACATACATGATCTTCATTGTGCAGTTCCTAACCATAGTGAAACATTAATAACAGCAATGAGCATAACTAATCCAGGTCAACAATTTAAAAGTGTTTTTAAATTACGTTATAAGGAAATCCAGTAGTAACATCAGCTGTACCGATAAAAATTGCTAATCATTTTGCAATTCTTTTTTCAGATATATTTGTTATACGATTCTCACAATAAATCCAAACTATTATTCAAGAAAAAAATGTTTAAGACGAATGCTTCTTTATCATTAAAAAAGATTGAGAGCGAGGCATCATCTGCTTACCCCATATCATCTGTATCAGAATCAGAATCGAACGGATCATTCAGCTTCCGTAATCTTTTTTCAACTTCCTTATCGTCCACTTTCTGGGAGCCTGGCACAACGGCACTGAATTTCGTATGATCTTCATCCTAAAATTTAAGCCAAATTAATTTCTAAACAAATTTATTTGACTTCATTCACTGAAAGTAAAAGCAGAAAATATAAAAATGGAAGAATGTAACAGCGAAATATAAGAATAGGCAATAAACTGTATATGAGATGGACAGCTTCGCTGCTTTGTTTTTTGACAATAGAATGCTCCAAAAAACAGGAAATATTTTCCACAGTAACACTATGAATTCTGACAACTCACAATGATATTAGTTAGATCGACGGCTTCGTCACGTTCACGCTGTCTACGAAGAATTTCAAGCTCTCTCATAACCTAGAAATTCTTTAATTTATCTTCGGCCAAAGAAATTTCACTGAAAGTAAATTCAGAAAATATAAAAGTACGGAAAATTTTAACCTTTCGAAACTCTACATATTCAAATCGGCTGGGATGCTTAAAGGGTTATGAACCACAGCAAATTAAGTAAAAACATACAAGTGATGAATAATTATGAACAATAGAGACCAAAAATGACTCAGAAGAGTGATTTGATATTTTTTTCATTAAACTTCTAAATTTATTCCTTAGATTGATATTTCATGATTTACAAAACTTCATCTAATGTTTGAAAAAAATGCAGGAAACAATTACACTAGTTTCTGATTCTGAGAGATTGAAAAGTGCAGATATCCGATAATCCGATTCATTCATACTCGATTCACATTTCATAGCCGGAACATCCACAAGAAGCATGCGCAGTTCAGACAAGAAACATCGAACATCATTTCGGTCAGGCAGCGTTACAGTTATACCAGCATCCAATTTCCTAAATCAAGTGAGAATCTTTTTGTAATTTCGATGAAAAATAAAACATGCAAACAATAGCAGCAACAAAAATTGCAAAGAATGAGGGAATACTCGAGATAAAGAGTAAGCACATATTGCTTTGTGGGACCAGCAATTTATACACTCTCTATGAACTATTTATAGATAAACAAATAATTACTTTTCAACACCAATCAAAGCAGCAGCATCCAATGCTTTGCGACAATTCTCAAGACGGTTACTGTGTGAATCTGTAAAATTCAATTTGCTAAACGGTCCAAGTAAATCTGGACGATAGCGATGAATAATTGCGCAGAACGCAAGACCTGAGCGAAAGCTTTTCCTGCAAAGAGTGGAATATATTTTTGATTTCACGACTAAAATCAATATAAAATGGAAAATGATAAATTAAACGTTTTAACTCCTACTGCAGAAATAAAAACATACGCAAAGTCTGTTATTTTAACTGAAGGATAATCCTTCGTCACCCTTTGACACCACGCAAGAAGATCCTCGCCTTCCACAACAGCAGGTAATGGCTCAGATTCTTTTTCCAGATTTAAATCCGGAGATTTATCCACAGTCTTCGACACTTGAAAAATTTCAGCTTCCATTCGTTCACTGTAAATGAAACATATAAAAAATGAAAAGCGACGAAGATCAGGTAAACCGTCATGAAGATTCAAAAATATTAAATATTTGTTCTTGGTGAATAACTATTTCGCTACTTTTAGTATATATATTTATATTTATCTTGCGAGGACAAAGGTAAATATCACTCACTAAACACTCTCTCGTGCTTTAATTCGTCGATGTTAATACGTGTAATGTGAAATAACCAAATATAAACCAGAGTAAATTATTTTTCTAAACGGAAACTATTTCGTTATAAGAAATAAACCTCAAACATTGAAAAATTACGAACTTTGATTTTGATTCTTGTTGAAACGTGTTACCAATCATCAATGTTTGGGATGCATCCTTCCTGTCATCTTCAAATTCACTAACATCTGCATGTGCTGAAAAATCCAAATATTTCTAAAACAACAAAGAAATTCAAGCATCTTCATCAAAACTTGCATGATACATCAAAACTTTCATAGTAAAATTCAGAAGTTTCAAGTAATCATGTTCCGACTTTTGTTTGATAAAATTGACACTGGAGGATTTAGATTCATCAATATCAGCCATGAAATGTATGTATTAAAAACTATCGAACATAAAATGATCTATAAACTAACACAATAAATTATAGCAATTTGAAATTATCAACATGTAAGCAATTATATGTTTTAAAAATTTGTCAGAATCTCCATTTATGGGAAAGCCCTTCCACGAACTCACCATTCATCCCAGATATAACGGAAATTATCGACTCAACTAATCACGTCATATAAAACAACGTGTATGGAGCAATGTGAGATGGAAGGAACATTGAACAAGGATATCTTATCAATTCCACAATGAAGAGAATTCATTATGCATTTCCTAAGGAACCGCACAATGAATAACATGTTTCAGAAGGCAACAGTTTCAAATTTACTATTTTAGAAATTTATTTATCATTCCAGACATCTATTTCGTGCATTTTAAAGCAGAAAATGTACAAACCTGGTTTTTCCCTTTCAAGAGCATTTGTCACTGTGGAATTTCGAATCGCTGAATGACTCTGATGGCGATCAAAAAATCTTGCATGTACATCAATAATACCATTACTTTTATAAGCATTTTCAATTTGAGAAACCAAATCTGTCCGTTTTTCGTCGTCACTCGTTTCCGGTGTCTCGATATCATTTAAATTCATTGAATAACTTGTAACAATCGTATTGTCTGAAACAATACATCATAATATAATTCCCATAAACATATTTAAACACTCGAAGATTATAAATTCTACAAATTTGAACTGTCCTAATGTATACTTATTTCGGAAAGATATAAAGTCCTTAAATAAAATGTAGGAAGAAATCCAGGCATCAAAAAATACTACAGATGAAAATCAGTAATCATTGAAGTCCCAAACGATTCCAAGATCATCCTATCTGAATCGAAAGTAAAGAATTCCAATGCACTGAAAAGTATTTCTATCCAGTAAAACCTTTAGTGTTTTCGGTTTGATTGAAAAAGTAGATAAAACATTAAATATCGCTCCTAATTTAATATTGCTTCATCATTTACCTTTTACATTGCTGGTTCGCTGTTCTGTTTCTGCAACATCACCCGCTATACTAGCTCTATGTCCACTGTTAATACTTGATATCTCTCTTTTCATATCAAACTCACTGTAAACAATAACTTGGAACGAAAAGATTAAAACGTTCATACAATAAAATTCTGACGAACTTTCTCCGAAACAAAGTACTACGAAACATTAGAATATTGAACGAAACATCGCTCGTCACACTATTCACACTACTGCATAATAATCTTTTGACAATCAAGTAGCTGGTTTCAAAACTTAACATTATGTCTGAGATCTAAGCATGCATCGAACCCTCCAATAGTACTGCCTTAGATTGCTACCACTACTAATACGTAATACTTTCATAAGGAACTGTCAGCTTACTTCGCTTCACCGTCACCAATAAGCACTGATGATATCAAAATTTGTATTGAACATTGAGACAGTTCTGGCCATAATGGTCGTAATTTTAATTTCAGTTCAATTACGGTTTCTGGATTCTGAAAACGATCTCTATGAATACAATAAAACTCCGACTCGTCTCCAAAAATAATTTGAAAGCTTACATGAAACAGTATATAAGGCGGCACTTCATTACAGAGGAAGAAAAGAGAGAAGAAACTGAAGAGAAACAAAGAGTAGAAGTGCTCATATTTAAGAACACATTACAATCAATGAATATCTTTTTCGAGTCTTATATGTAGCAAGAAACCAATTGTAGATAAGTATTCTAAGAATTTATCTATCCTACATTTTATGATATGAAGGATGCGACGACAAACCTGAACGAAAAGGGGCATATTTAAATTGACTGCAGCAATAGCTTTTCGTTTGCCTTTTCGTGTACATTCCTCCACCAATAAAGTCCATTCCTTATCACTGTAATGATTTGATGAATCATCGCAATATAATGTTGTGTCGAAAAATAACGGATCCGGTGTCTGTGATGGCCAAACAATTAAACCTCGACAAGGATCCGTCATGCTACTCTCCCATCGTCGTATTCGTCCCTCCACTTTTCGTCTCCTATAAATATCGATTAATTTTATTTCTTCAGAGTACTAAATCCAAGTGAAATTAAGAAACTGAAAAGAACGTAATATCAAAAAATTTGCGTATTATTCGTAATCAATATGACTCCTGTGATTGTCCTTCTCTACTGCATATCCGAAGAATTGCTTGATGCCGTAGCTGATAACTAAATGCTCGTATTATACAACAAAAAATTAGTCAACTAATTTAAAATATAGTGTGTTTCATATTATTCAATAAATCGATCGCAATCAAAAAGAGATAAAATCAATTTCATCTTAGATCTCCTCTCTTAGTAATATTTCCAACAAAAAAGAAGTGTGAAAATTTAATTGAAATCTGAGCATATCATTCACCTATGCATGCAAGTTACGATTACATTCTGAGGATGCCATTTTGTGGAGCATATGATTAATAATTCTTGAGGTGTAATTGTAAAACGATATTTGACTGATTTTTTATTCGACTTTTGTATTCGCCGCCACACACTTGTCATCCCACTTTGATGTAACTTCTTCACTGCACTTACCAATACACTATCTAAAATGAAAACAAATGAAATCTGGTAAATCAAAAATTAAAAGTTATAAAATGCAAGGCGAATGCTATTATTACTATGCTATTTTTAACAAAATTTTAGCTATCAAAATGTTCTATTCATCCCTATTTTCATACATACACAAAAAAGAAAAAGTGGCAAATTCACTTTAAAAAAAAAAGCTTCGTTACATTCCTGTCCAAAAAAGTGAATGTAACTTCACACGCAATTATAATGAGCATAATTCAAAGCTGGATATCACTTTTTTCAATAACATTATGAGGTTTACTTAATCATGCGCATCAGGAAAAAGTAAGTCTAGATTGTTAATCTTTCAGATTATAACAAATTCAACAAGCGTATAAGTTGTTTTAGGGACGAAAATTCTCTCCAAGGTTAATTTATTGATTGATATAAAGCGTTCTATAGAAATTCATGTACTATTGCTATACGAAACTCTCATCTGCTATCCTATTCTTAAATTTTGAATGGAACAAGGAAAAACAGTATATCATATGAAAAGCACATTTAAAAATAAAAGTTTCGAACAGAGCACAGTCTATGATGACGAAGTAACCTGCTCAACAATGATTCATATAGAAGGAAACTACTATCTCCAAGTTGTTCCATTTTTTATAATTAATGTTTTTTTTTTCTTATAACTACTATGTTCAAACTGTTTCATTTTCAGTAACTATGACACTATAACCTTTCGATTTTTGAATTTAATTTGAAAAATAATGTGAAAATTTGCAAGTAATTCTTCAAAATCATATTGCCAAATCTTTTTATTTTTATAAAATAACTTCTAAATTTTAATGAATGAAACAAAACACCATAGCTATCGTATAAGCGAGAGAACATTTCAATACTTCATTTCATAAAAGACTTAATGATGGTACAATTTCTTGAAATTCTCTCTCAGTTTTTTTTTCTTCTCAGAGACAAAAAAGGACTTCAAAGATTGTTACTAGATGTTACCAGATGTATTTCAATCAAATTGTTCTTTTTGCTACTCCTCTCGAAGTCTAACATTAAAATTGAATTTACAAAAAAGCGCTTTCAAAGCTAAATTCTAAAAAATACAAAAATCACTTCTTTCCAATCACTGCATAAGTTAATACTACCACAACAAAATCATGCAGAAATCATGAATACTCCGAAAGTTCAAGCCATTACAAAAACATTTTATTCACTTGCTTCTAACAAAAAAAAAAAAAAAAACCTCTATTTTCTTCTCCCTTTTCATTTTCTAAATCACAAAATCGGATCACCTCATCCCGCACCCATAACGCAAACATCCATATTCCCCACACTCTCCACCGATATCCGGAAAAACGGTAAAGAGAGCAAAAACGGAATATCGTAAATCCTTTCAAGTTGTGTGTCATTCGCCATATGTAATAGAGGAGCATAGTGAAATTTTCTCATCTCTCAATTATTAAATGAAAATGACTCATTATTGATGAGTGGGGAGATGAATCTGAACGATTGAGTTCCAAAATTTCCTGTAAGCATTTTATGTCACGTTTCATTTCTCGTAATATTTTTACGTGTAATTTTTTGTAATATTTACACGCATCTGTAACACTTTCCGTAATATTTTTACGCAATCCGTTAATATTTTCCGCAATATTTTTATGCATTCATAATATTTTTTTTTTATCATAGGAAGCGTAATTAATTAAAGTTAAAAATCGAAAAAAGAATAATTCATTTCACAAATGATATTATTAAAAATTTTGATTGTTATTTAAATTTATTTGCAAAATAAAATTCATCGATTATTATATTTCTGATGAATATTTCTTCAAGTTATT